ACTGCACATATTGTTGAGCCTGATCTCATAGAAATGCAAAAATATGGGAGGAGTCATTTTTATATCTAAAGTCTTGCAAAGAAATTGAAATGCTTGCAAGATGGCCCAATCGAATGGATGTAGTTCAATTGGGGCCACATTCAAAATTGACAAGATGTCAATAGTTAAGGTATCAAAGGGAAGACATACATTCAAGTGCCGAAAGAAATAATCATACATGTAGAAGAAGCATGTCTCATTGTTGTCACCTTTTCAACATACTATTTCCTACTCCAAGGGTCTTTAGGAATTCACAAGGTCCCCCATTCCAAAATGAACGATGTTGATTCCTTATAGGAATTGAATAAGCAGTACCTTATCTACATATTTGGTGGAATACTTGAAGACTTTGTCCAAAACCCAGTCCAAGTACTCCTTTATGTCCATGACCAAGGGAATGACGTGATCAGGAGTTACCATTAGGTTCAAATTGTCCTTGGGAGGAAGTGCTATACTTAGACCAACCATCTGCTTAGACCAACCATCTGCTTAGACCAATCATCTTGTTCTACACCTAGTCGATTTTAATAGCTAGGTTTTTTTTGGCAATTGGCCTAGATGAAATAACATTCACTTCCATCTTGCCTGAGAAAAGAGACTCTAACTATCATTTGAATGCATAAAAGGAGAAGGATGGGATATACTTGATAGGTACTTGATTCTTGGTGGCTAAGAGAGAGACGGGTTGACAAAAAGTGCTTAGAGTATTTGAAAGGTAGAGTTTGTAAGTAAATCCTTATGAAGACTAAAGGATCATATTTATAGATATGAAAATCTTTGAGAAAGGAAACATCTCACCCCTTTGAAAATGAAATAAATTCAACCCTTCATCTTTCCCTGAAGTTTCAAGTTTAGGGTTCTATAAGCTTCCTAGGGCAACTAACATGCCATCATTCCACATTTGAAGCGACCGTGATGCTACAAATCCCAAGCAACAACATATCTAGAGAGTAATGGCTTTAAAATTCTAAAATGGGAAACTAATTTTTTTTTGCCAAAAAGATAATGAACTTTTCTCCCAAAAGATTTGAAGACTTGGGGAGCTTATGTACCAAATAGGCCTCGAATCATCTGCCCAAAGACACTTTGACTCTTACCTCAGATTAACCCCAACAGGTTCTTAGTTATGTACTAGGTAAGTTTGAACACTAACTGGCAAGTACACTTGTTTTATTTCTCCAACTGAGTTATCCTCGACGTGTTGAGATCCTCGATCGTTACACTACAATTAAGTCTTAAATACTCTTTAATGCCTCCTCAACTAATGATAACATTTTCTTTCATATATGTGTATATATAATATATATA